TTTGAATATTGCCTTACAATTGTTGTTTTCTGTTTACAGGGGGATTCCCATACCATCCGCGGGTATGGGAACACCGGCGCCCGGGACTGGTATGCTGAGCTTCCCGACGCGGTCCGTCGCATAGTGGACCAGGTGGGCTTCAGCGCATTCTGTAGAGGACTCTCCGGGCTCACTACATGCAGACCTCTCCTCGCCGCTCTGGTGGAGAGGTGGTGGGACACCACCGATTCATTCCATTTCTCCGCGGCAGGGGACATGACGATGACCCCTTACGATTTCTCGATGCTCACAGGCATCGGGGTAGGGGGTGATCCAATCCCCTTTGATACTGACATGGACGAGTGGACTGCCGCTCAGATCCATCTACTTGGTGAGGTGCCACCTCTGGCGCATCCTGGCTACGTCCGATACTCCTGGTTCGAGGTGCAGTTCCGGGTCCAACCCACCCTTGTTGATGTAGCCCCGATTACTCCGGAGGCCGTGGAGAGATACGCACACGGCTTCCTCATGTTCTTGTTTGGGACGACCATTTTCGCCGACCGGGCGAACACCGTGCCTCTCTGCATGCTCAGCGCACTGGTGGACGTCAGGCAGATCTTGCATTACGACTGGGGTGGCGCCGCTCTGGCCACTCTCTATGGGTATATGAGCTCAGCTTCCCGCGGCAGCGGACAGTTGCTCGGGGGCTATTGGCGTGTTTGGGAGGTACGTTTCTTCTCCGCTTTTCATTTCTGTTCTATATTTTCTGTACTCTGTACACTGCACACACTGTAGTCTGCTTTATACTTGTTGTATATTGCACACACAGCACACACATACACTCTGCTTTACACTGACTGTACACTGCTCACACTGCACACTCTACACAATACACTGCACAACACGTGGCTCTACTATTTCTGCTTTTACTCTATATTCTGCTTTATCTGATAAATGCACTGGTATTTACCTTGCAGCTGTGGGTTTATGCCTACCTTCCCAGGCTTGCACCCGTGCCAGTCACGGAGACTCCTCTGGTCGTCCCCTTTTCGCGTCGCTTTGACGGGAGATGCACCCGGAGGCCGCGAGAGACTTTCAGCTTCTTCCGCCGCTTCTTCGACACCATTACCCCCGCAGAGGTATGTTTTACTTGCAGTTCATTTAAGCTTCGCCTTTCCACTGCATATTTCAATAACAGTAGATAACAAACTGTATTGCATTTTCAGATCACCTGGCAGCCTTGGGCTCCTTTGCCAGCCGTGACGCGGGATCGGTTTGCCGGCGCCGATGAGACCTCGCATTTTCGGATCTTGCTGGAGGGCCCAGTCTGTCGGGCTTGGTACCTGGGTGAGCGTTTCCTACGCCAGACCCTAGGGTTACCGGAGTAGATAGTCCCGGTTCACCCTCCCGAGGATATGAGGGAGACCGAGAGGCTCACTACGGAGCAGATGGCCGATTATACCATCGGTTGGGAGGCGACCTGCTTCAGAGGCATCGGGGACTACCGAGAGTACGTACAGACGTATCTTATGCGGCCTTTGAGCGGCGGCCGTCGAGCTGAGGAAGTTAGACCCGTGGCGCCAGCAACGAGGACATGAGCGGGAGCTGGAGCTGGAGCTGGAGCTTCGAGGAGGGCCTGAGTCCGTGGCAGGGGCGGAGTTCAGGGAGGACGGGGGACCGGTTGGCCTATTCTGCCCACTTCATTGACTTTCCGAGGGCAGGGCAGGGCGACCTATCAGATCCCCTTCGCCCCTCCACTGACTGATCACGAGTTTGTCGGTGTCCCCGACTTGCCTCCGGTATGCATTACTGCATTTTTGTACGGTCATTTCATTTCAGTTTATTTGATATTCCGCGGGATATTGATGCATCTGATACTTTTGCAGGCTTCTTCTGAGTACACCTGGCAGTCATTGGAGATGAATGCCTCCATGATGGGGATGCTACAGCGGACCTTTGATCTCCTGGCCCTCTACAGCATTCCGGTATGTTCTTCTGATCACGGCCTTAAATCACTCACAAGCTGATTCACGTAATCTGATGCACGGCACAACACCTGATACACTGATCTCACAGCATCTGATACACTGCATACACTGCATTCTGCATTGTACTCTGCACTGATAAACTGCTCATGGCATTCACACATTGTACTCATACACTGTATTCTGCACTGTACTCTGCACTGATAAACTGCTCACGGCATTCACACATTGTACTCATACACTGCATTCTGCACTGTACTCTGCACTGATAAACTGCTCACGGCATTCACACACTGTACTCATACACTGCATCCTGCACTGATAAACTGTCCACAGTATACTGATGCATTTGTCTTTTGTGTACTTTTTCAGCCTCCCTTCCAGATTCCCGGGGTAGGAGGTGCTCCGGCTGGACCTTCCGTCCCCGCCCGAGGGAGAGATGAGGAGGGTAGAGTATTCCCCCGCACCAAAGCGTGGCACACTCATGCCGGGAGCAGTTCGCGGGCTCCCGTCCCTGATGATGACGATGATGATGATGACGAGTCGGAGGTGGAGGCAGAGGCAGAGTCGGAGTCATCGGAGGAAGAGACTGGAGGCGGCACTAGCTTGGGCTCTGACGACGATGCTGATGATGCTCCTGGACCTTCGTCTAGGAAGAGGACTAGGACAGACCGATAGCCCTCGGAGTCGCTGGACACGGATATAGATTTTTGTCGATTTTCTTCTTTCTTGTACTTTTCCTTTTTGTTGGTGGTTAGATTACCTTGTACTGCCGCAGGCAGATTTTTGTTTTCCTCAAAATTTTGTACTTAAAAAAAAGATTATGAAATGAACAAACTTTTTTGCTTAAAAAGTGTTACATTTACATATCTCATGTATTGCATCGCATCCCCATCATGTTACACTTCAATGTAAATGGAATTGATCTGTGGTCTGAATGTTGAACACTTGCACTGTGGTAATAATCAGATAATTAAACAGCTAACAGCAAAATAGCCCAAGCAGCCCACTGCCTGATTCTGGACACACACAGCCCTTACTCTACTGGGGATTAATCTGCATACAACCCACAACATAGCATTCGGTTTATTCTGCACTCAGCAAACTTTAAACGAAACAGCCCAATCTGACAAGACGGCCTACGGGGATGAAACCAGTTGGAGTTGAAGCACGCTCAAATATAGAGAATGGCACAGCATTCTGAGCATAAATGATTTTTGAAATTGAGTAAGGGTTTTTCAAACCGGGGTATCGAGCCTACAACTGAACACAGCGGGGAAAGACAAAAAGGTACACGACCTAATCATAACGAGACACGCTCGGAAAAAGACCTAAAACACAGGTTGAGGTAAACAAAACAAAAGACACGACATACAGACGCGTTAACGAAGACGGGGGACCTCTGATCACGAGGAGCCAGTTTCTCTAGGTATCGTTTCCCACCCTTTTCTCATTTGTGATTCTCACGTCACTCAACCCTCGAGCTCGGTTTTTCTCTCAAAACCCTTTTTTCTCACTTTTCTCTCAACTCACACCTCTCTATTCTTCATTCTCTCATTTTTCGTGCCTCCCCAAGGTGATCAATGAATGAATAGGAAGTTGCGGGTTCATGCCCAATGCCGTTGGCTCACGGCTATTTCTTCTGGTGGGTAGAGTGCCCTTCTGGCAAGTATGTTGACGACGGGAGGGGAGACAGAGCGCCTGGCTCAACTGTGCCCTTAGTTCATCACTTTGACCACTTTTGTTTTTGCTTTCTACTAAAACAGTTTTGATCAAAATGAGAGTCGGATTAACGTACTTGTTCGGCTTTTGATTTGAAAGCCATGCAAGTCAGGCTGTAAGCACTGAAAATTTTCCTTTTAGGGGTCCAAGAAAATGGTCCAGTTTTGGAAAATGGAACCGTTTTCGAGAAAATAGTCAACCTCAGTAAAAATTTTCAAAAACTATTTTGCAAACAGTCAAT